ACAATAAAAGTCTTTCCTTGCATTGGGTGCTGTAGACTATTTTGGTGTTATTTACTAGTATTTGTCTTATGTTGATAATTGTACTTTGGTCGCTCATGATGTGCTGGTCGAAGTTTAGACAGGTGACAGGTCAATCGACGAGAAAGTGTGGTGCATGTGTACCCAATGTAATTATTTTATGTTGTTTTTTGATTATTAGTTTTGGAGATGCAATCTCCCAATGGTCATGAAAATTCATAGGCAACATTATTTTTACATACGAAGATGGATTTATAAGTCCCGGTATTTTTGGTAATAAGCATGGCGGATGTAATAACGGCTTCCGCTAGGCGAACACAGGTTCGAATCCTGCCAGAGAGCGCATGTTTTTCTCATCAGTTTTCTCGAATATTCAAATAATAGTCGAAAATAAATAAATATACTGTTTAATAAATAAACAGCGAGTCTACTCAAACACGAGTATCCACTAAAATAACGTTTAATTCGGTTTGTTTGTTTTACGGCATATCAGCCTCAATGGGTTATTCAATGCTGACAAAATTTTCATTGTTGGTAATTTTTTCCAAAAATGTATTGTTGGTATTAAAACTGTTTTTACGCTTTCATAGTCTTTTGGCCCCAGTTTGGAGGTTAACTATTTGCCTATAGCTGGGACCCCAACATGTGCTACCACCCTAGGTCAGGGTAGACCTTGGAACACCAGTAATTAAGAAGTGGTTCCAGGCTCCTCAAAACCTCCTAATTAGAGTCCTCGCTGTCAGACGTAGTTTATCGTCTTACCCAGGACGTGGATGTAGTTTATCATCATACCCAGGGTGCGGATGCAGTTTATCGACATAACAAGGATGCAAATAACGTTTTAAAAATGGCGAAATGCAACATGGTGCTAAATGTTAGTCAAATCAAATGCATTTTAAAATATTGCTAGTAGACTCGTAATAAATATCTGGTTAACCCCCTTTGTATTGTGAACGCTTGTTTATAAAACATCGTAACCGCAGCGGTTTATTTTAAAATAATTATAACAGCGCGCGTTCATGCGTGTTTAGAAAAAATCACCATCACAACGATTACAGTTACATTAAGCTTGTCTTCGTAATTCACACCTGAGGCGAGAAAAAATTGCGTGAATTGCACCTGAGTTCAATAATTTTGATATGGAAGACAAATTGAAATACAAACTCTATCTACTTGACAAAGTTAATGCTTCTATGTTTGGGCAACAAATCCAACTAATAAAAGAAATGGACCGCACGCCCACGACAGTTTCCCCAGGAGACACACCTTTCTGCTTTCACCGATACTCTCTTTCTCTCTTTCGTTGTCTCGACCCTCTCTCTCTCTCTCTCGCTCTCTCTTTCGGACAATATCGGTTTGTGTCAAGCATTCTGCCTGAATTTTAGTAATATCAACTCATAAAATGCCGTTCAATAAGTTTTTAGGTGCAGTTCTTTTGAAGAAAGTGCTTAGAAGGATAACGAAACGAAGTCCTATTCGTCTTTCTTTCTTTCTTTCTTTCTTAACAAGATAATATTCTCTTCTTTCTTTCTTTCTTTCTTTCTTTCTTTCTTAACAAGATAATATTCTCTTCTTTCTTTCTTTCTTTCTTTCTTTCTTTCTTTCTTTCTTAACAAGATAATATTCTCTTCTTCTTTCTTTCTTTCTTTCTTTCTTTCCTTCTTTCTTTCTTAACAAGATCCCATCCTTTTCTCTTTGTCATTCTTTCTTTTTCATTCTTTCTTTTTTCATTCTTTCTTTCTTTCTTTCTTTCTTTCTTTCTTTCTTTCTTTCTTTCTTTCTTAACATGATAATATTCTCTTCTTTCTTTCTTTCTTTCTTTCTTAACAAGATAATATTCTCTTCTTTCTTTCTTTCTTTCTTTCTTTCTTTCTTTCTTTCTTTCTTAACATGATAATATTCACTTCTTTTTCATTCTTACTTTCTTTCTTCTTTCATTCTTTTTTCCTTTTCTTCTTTAAGAAGATACTATCCTTTTCTCATTTTCATATTTTTCATTCTTTTTTCATTCATTCTTTCTCTTATCTTTCTTTCTTTCTTAACGAGATAATATCTCTTCTTTTTTCATTCTTTCCTTTTTTCCTTCCTTTCTTAACAAGATCCTATCCTTTTTCTTTTTCATTCTTTCTTTCTTTCTTTCTTTCTTTCTTTCTTAACAAGATAATATTCTCTTCTTTTTCATTCTTTCTTTCTTTTTCATTCTTTCTTTTTCATTCATTCTTTCGCTTATCTTTCTTTCTTTGCATCTTTCTTTCTTTCTTTTTTAACAAGATCATATCTTTTCCCCATTTCATTATTTTTTTTTCATTCTTTCTTTTTTCATTCATTCTTTTTCTTTTTTGTCTTTCTTTCTTTCTTAACAAGATTATATTATATTCTTTTTCATTCAGTCTTTATTTATTCTTTCTTTCTTTTTTTCCTTTCTTACTTAACAAGACACTATCCTTTCCTTTTTCATTCTTTCTTTTTCATTCATTCTTCCTTTTATCGTTCTTTCTATCTATCTATCTATCTTTCTATCTATCTTTTTCTTTCTTAACAAGATCATATCTTTTTCCCGTTTTCATTCTTTCTTTCTTTTTTATTCTTTCTTTCTTTTTCATTCTATCTTTTTCAGTCTTCCTTCTTAACAGAATCATATATGTTTTTTTATTTTTCATTTCTCCTTTTTTATTTCTTTCTTAACAAGATCACATCCTTTTTCTTTCTTAATACGATTATACTCTTGATCTTCTTTTTTCCTTTCTTTCTTATTATGAATATATCCTTCTCTTTCTTTCTTTTTTCTTTCTCTCTTTTTTCTTTCTTTTTTATCATGAATATATCCTTGTTCTTCCTTTCTTTCTTCTTTCTTACTTTCTTTCTTTTTCTTTCTTTCTTTCTTATCATGAATATATAATTGTTCTTTCTTTCTTCCTTTCTTTCTTTTTTATCATGAATATATCCTTGTTCTTTTCCTCTTTCTTTCTTTCCTTCTTTCTTATCATGAATATATTCTTGTTCTTTCTTTCTTTTGTAAGGACTTTTCGATTTCTAGAATGATATTAATTTCCCTGTTTACAATATCAGGGATGACAATCCAAACACCAATATCTATAAAAATAACTTTTATAGGGACAAGAAAGACATATTGATTTTTTTTATGCAATTTCAATTTTGACTTCGATTACTTTTAAGATACGAAAATAAATTTAGCAAATATAGACTTCAAAATGTCCCAACAAGAGATGTGCATTCCTTAAGAAGTTTTGTTGAATCTGGCCTTACCAATATTTACCGTTGCCTATTTGGTTAAAGGAGTCGTTTCTCTGATGAATAAAGAGAATACAGGTTCGAGTCCTGTCGGGAGGAACATTTTTCGTTAGTGAAGACAACTCGACTGATATATCAAAAATATAAAACTCCAAATTCAAAACCAGCCTACAGAGACTCTTGTTCGTTTTACAGTAATAGTTTTGCAAAAGACATGAATCTGCAACTCCCTGCGTCCTCACCTATTTTCGACAGATATGTGGGAATGAAAGAAATGGTAGGGGTTGGTCTCCAGGAAACACCACGGCTACTGCGGCGGCAGTGAATGCGATGCAACTACAGCCTGTAGGGTAAAAAAAAAAAAAAAAAAAAGAAGCACCTTGAGTCGGAGCATCATCGAGCTACAGTTGTCAAGACGGATCGCCAGTGCCCAAATCATTCCCGAATAAAAAGTGATGCCCGAAGCATTATTTTACGGCGGTTTTCTTTTATCTGGTAAATTATTTTTAGCTTTTTGATTTTTAGCCCAATCTTTCTCTGGAGAGCCATCTTTTATTCAAATATTTCCTAAATGTTGGTCCATAACGAAGATTCTTTTCTCTTCTTTTATTCCATTCTCATTTGACAGTAGCAATTATTAAATTATTTAGCCGGTAGTCGAGCAAGCTGACAATGTACTCATTTTATATCACCTTCTTTTTATATGTTCTTCACTCAGAATTCATTTTTCCAGCAAAAAATTTTTCCGAAAATGCAAATTACAAATCGGGGATACTAAAACCAACCAAGTATGAACATTTAAATATGTAGAATGTGTTCTAACAGAGAACGGAAAATTTTCTACTTTCTTTTCCCTTCGCATTTCTTTTAAAAGATTCTTTCTTTCTAAGCAGAGTATTAAGAAATTAGAAAAAAATCGTTTCAGAAAGGAGAGAGATTCCCTGAAATCAGAAAAAAAAAGAAACTAAATAAAGAACTTTTCTTTAGAATGAAGATAAAAAAATCTGAAAGAAACTTTTCTTTACATTTTTGTGAAAAAAGTTTCTTTCAAGGAAAAAAAGGATGAAAAGAATCTTTTCATCAAAAAAAAAACCAGATTCTTTCAAGAAATTTTCTTTCTTTCTTATTTTTCTTTTTTCTTTCTTTCTTATATTTCTTTCTTTTTTTCTCTTTCTTTCTTTCTTTCTCATTCTTTCATCCTCTCTTTCCTTCTTTCTCAAACTTTCTTTCCTTCTTTCACACACTTTCTTTCTTTCTTTCTTTTTTTACTGTTCTATGATATCCATCTTTTTATAGCAGTGGATGATGGACAGTTTTATTCAAAATCGTCAGAAAAAGAAAGAAAAAACAAAAAACAAAATTGTTTTTTTCATTTCTTTTTCTGTTTTCTTTCTCTTTCTCTTTCTTTCTTTCTTTCTCATTCTTTCATCCTTTCTTTCCTTCTTTCTTACACTTTCTTTCCTTCTTTCTCAAACTTTCTTTCCTTCTTTCACACTCTTTCTTTCTTTCTTTCTTTCTTAACTGTTATATGATATCCATCTTTTATATAGCAGTGGATGCTGGACAGTTTATTCAAAGATGAAGAATACACCTCAACCAACAGAAATGTGGCTCTATAGAAAGATGCTGAATATAAAAACCAAACAACGAAGACATTTTAGAGAAAATGGAAACAAAAAAGAAACATACTTAAAAATCTGGAAGAAACAGTTGAAATTTCTGGGATACATCATGAGGAAGGAAGGCTTGGAAAATCTGATACCCACAGGATGAATTGAAGACAAGAGGGGCAGAGTTAAAAGAACGCATAACATACTTGACAAGCTTGAAAAAAGAAATGGTGGAACAGGGTTTAAACATAACGAAAAGAGCTACAAAGGACAGGAAATTGTGGAGAGTCATAATCGGCTATGGCCTTCTTTCTACAGGGCATTTTCAGATAGAGTTTCAAATTTTTTTTCTCATTTGGCGGTGCCAGCCACGAAATTGTTTAGCGTTTCGCAAGTATGTTTCTAATAATTTGCATAAAATCACAATAAACTCCGTTCTGGTCTTCATTGAGCAAAGTCCGGACAAATCTAAAAATATTCCTTATTTTATTTTATTTTTTTTCATTTCTCTTTAGTGGTGATACAGGGCTTTCCTCTCTCTCTCTCTTTCTCTCCCTCTCTCTTTCTCTCTCTCTTTCTCCCTCCCCACTCTATCCCTCGTATCAGTCCTTCCTCCTTTCCTGATACGTTTCTCCCTGCTTCTGAAGAAACATAACGATACAAATGAGCTTCATTAACTTAGCCACGCCCCTTTTCGATTTTGTGGGCGGAGTAAAAGTAATTTAAATATCCGTTTTGGTAAATTCCTAATTGTGACACCGTATTATAATAACTACATTAATAATGATAATAAAATAATCGGGTGGTGGGGGGGAGATCTTTCTCAAATTTCTTAGTCATGCTTCTTCTAACAAATCTCTCACAATGTTTTCTTTCTTTCTTTTCTATCTCACTCACTCTTTCTTTCTTCCTCATTCTTTCTTTCTTTCTTTTTTTCCTCATTCTTTCTCTTCTTTCATTCCTTATCAATCTTTCTTTCTCATTCATTCTTTCTTTCTTTTTTTTCTTTCTTTCTTTCTCATTCTTTCTTCCTCATTCTTTCTGTTCTTATTTCCTCCTGATTCTTTCCTTCTTTCTTTCTTTCTTTCTTTCTTTCTTTCTTTCTTTCTTATTCTTTCTTCCCCATTCTTTCTCTTCTTTCTTTCATTCTTTCTCTTCTTTCTTCTTTTCTTTCTTTTTTACTTTCTTTTTTCCTCATTCTTTCTCTTCTTTCTTTCCTCATCATTCTTTCTTTCTCATTCAATCATTCTTTCTTTCATTTTTTCTTTCTTTCTTCCTCATTCTTTCTTTCCTCCTCATTCTTTCTTTCTTTATTATTTATTTTCTTTTTCCCCATTCTTTCTCCTCTTTCTTTCATTCTTTCTCGTCTTTCTTCTTTTCTTTCTTTCTTTCATTCTTTCTTTCTTCCTTCATTCTTTCTTTCTTTCTTTCTTTCTTTTTTCCTCATTCTTTTTCTTTCCTCATCATTCTTTCTTTCTAATTCATTCATTCTTTCTTTGGTTCTTTCTTCCGCATTCTTTCTGTTCTTTCTTTCCTCCTCATTCTTTCTTCCTCTTTCTTTCCTTCTTTCTTTCATTTTTTCTCTTTTTCTTCTTCTCTTTCTTTATTTCATTCTTTCTTTCTTCCTTATTCTTTCTTTCCTTTTTCTTTCTTTCTTTTTTGCTCATTCTTTCTCTTCTTTCTTTCTTTCTTTCTTTCTTTCTCATTCTTTCTGTTCTTTCTTTCCTCCTGATTCTTTCTTTTCTTTCTTTCTTTTCTTATTTTTCTTCCACATTCTCTTTCTTCTTTCTCTTCTTTCTTTCATTCTTTCTCTTCTTTCTTTCTTTCTTTCTTTCTTTCTTTCTTTCTTTCTTTCTTTCTTTCTTTCTTTCTGTTCTTTCTTTCCTCCTGATTCTTTCTTTCTTTCTTTCTTTCTTTCTTTCTTATTTTTTCTTCCCCATTCTTTTTCTTCTTTCTCTTCTTTCTTTCATTCTTTCTCTTCTTTCTTTCTCTTCTTTCTGTCTCATTCTTTCCTTCTCGCTCTTTCTTTCTTTCTTTCTGTCTCATTTTTTTCTTTCTTTCTTTGGTTCTTTCTTTTTCACCCTCCTTTCTCATTCTTCATTTTTCATTCTTACTTTCTTTCTGTCTCACTCTTTCTTTCTCACTCTTTCCTCTGTCCTTTCTTTGTTTATTTATTTCTCAAATTTGCTGTGGTTTTAAATTTTTATTCTGCACTTTTCTGATATATATATATATATGTATATAATATGCCTGAAAACCCTACCACGGGTTGACCCAAATATTGTGCGTTCTTTGGGTTAGATTATAAAACACTTTCTGTCGTCGATATTCTGTGCCAGCACGAAGTCACAAGTCATCGTGATCGAGGGTTTGAGTGTGCTGGCCTTGTTCAGATTGTTGATCATACTAGTTGACGCGCCCTCTCCCAGAAACTCTAATTAAGGTCTGCTCAGCATAGTTGCAGTATAAACCACAGGTTTTCTCCGTGGGTGTTGAAAAAACACAAATGTGCCTGAGCAAGCGTCTGCAGTAAGGATTAGCTAGCCAATCTAGTAGGCGGGTATCCTCGAATACGAGTGGCCAGCTATTATTATTATCATTATTATTATATACAAAAAGAGAGAGAGAAGAGAGAGAGGGAGGGTGTGTGTGTGCGTGTGTGTGTGCACTTTATTAGTATGCAGTCATCGAAAGTACAATTCGCTTTGGTCATTGTTATCATTGTCACCATTCGATCCCATTTCCTTTGCTATTTATTCAGCACTACGGATGGGAAGAGACAGGCTTAGAGCGATTTATTATCGAGGATTTTAATTAAAGGTTTTATTTCTTTTATTTTTTTATTACTCTTCATAATTTATAGTGTTTTCTGTGACTTTATTTTGAAGTTGAATTTTAAAAATACGAATTTGATGTAATCTTAAGGATGAAGATTGTTTTTTAAAATTATATTATTAACTTTTTTATATTTTATTTTCTGTTTGATTCTGTTCGGATTTAATTTCGATAAATGAATTAATTTAATTAAAAATATATTCTTAAAAATCTAAAAATTAGAAACAAACTATAAAATTAACTTTCAATTTAGACATCGAATTTAATTAAATTATCGAAATTTAAAAAAAATGGTAAATGCTATAATTACAAGAAAAGTTATTAAAACAAATCAAAATTTAGAATAGAAAATTTTTATTTGTTTTTTTTACGGCTTATCAACCCTTGCGAACTATTTAAAGCTTGAACATATTTTGAATTTTAAGAATATTTTTTCGCGAAGGAAAAATGCATTAGCAATTTTTTTGAAAATAGCAATGCTTTTTTCAGATATACGTTCTACTATTTAACTCATAGCTGGAGGGGAGACAGATTCATACTCTTTTCCAAGGGTGTTTGTGCATAAGTGAATGCAACAAATCTGAAAGGAATTCGAACTCATTTTTGATTTCTCAGTCCGAGCCGTTATCCATTATATTTACCCACACAAGTCCTTATAATTTGAGGTTTTTGATTTTCATTTTTTTTTTTTTTTTAGATACATTCGAATCCTGTGTTTAATTCATCTCAATTAGCTAGCAAGTTCCTTTTTTGAAATCTTTTATGATTATCCCTGGTTTATTTGCCTCAAATTTCCGGTCTGTTTTTTTCCACATTATTATTATTATTATTATTATTATTATTATTATTATTATTATTATTATTATTATTTCCTTTAATTTCTGGCGTTTACACATTTCTTTACGGGTCACGCCCAGGGACCTAAGGTTAGAAATGGCATCATAACACTTTCCACTGACAAAAAAAAAAAATTACATAGATAAAGCCCTTCGTAAAGTGTGGGCTGTACTTGTCAGAACAATTTTTGTATCTCTTTGAGGCATGTACTTCCAGGAATCCCTTCAATTAGTCTACTGGAATCTTTTCCAACCAATCATAGGGATCCAACTACGTTAGGTTGTTCTCATTCCCTTGTATCTCCGTTATTTCTCGCACTGTTTCCGCGGATGCTGTAATAGTCATGAGAATTAAGCGTCCTGGGTGAGACGATAAACAACATCCGTGTCCTGGGTATGACGATAGACTACATCCGCGTCCTGGGTAAGACGATAAACTACATCCGCGTCCTGGGTAAGACGATAAACTACATCCGCGTCCTGGGTATGACGATAGACTACATCCACGGCCTGTGTAAGACGATAAACTACATCCGCGTCCTGGGTATGACGATAGACTACATCCACGGCCTGTGTAAGACGATAAAAACAGATCCGCGCCCTTTTGTATGACGATATATACTACATCCACGGCCTGGGTAAGACTATGAAAGTGTAAAAATAGGTTTTAATAAAAGCAATAAATTTTTAAGGAAAAATTATTACCAGCAATACATTCTTGAAAAAAATAAATATTGCCAACAATACATTTTTGAGGAAAAAATATTACCAGCAATATATTTTTGGAAAAAAGAAATATTACTAGCAATAAAAATTTTGTCGGCATTAAATGACCCATTGAGGTTGATATACCGTAAAGCAAACCAAACAAACTTGAGAATTAAAGCGAAAGTTCGTAAATTTGTTAGCGCAGTATTTGTGAGTTCAATCCCTGAAATAGGTAACACAGACTCCTGAAGATAACGACAACAAAGATAGGGATATTAGATCGAATGTAAATAATGAAAACAGAAATAATTTAAAATTAAGAAGAAAAGGAAAGGTTTCAATTTAGCGGAAGGACCCCGTTACCCACCTTCTCTCAAATCTCCGCGGACGAATGTGGGAAAATAGGGGCGCAGTCAAATGAATAATTTAATCGATAAAATTTATATTAATTAAGGAAATTTTTTTTTTTTCTAAATTTTGAAATTATAGCGTTGCACACCACACCCTCTCGATCTGTCTGTCTGTCTGTCTATCTCTCACTCTCTTTCACTCGCTAACAGAAACAGTATCACTATCTCTCTCTCTCTCACTCTCTTTCACTCGCTAACAGAAACAGTATCGCTATCTCTCTCTCTCTTTTCAATTTTAATTCAACTTCCACGCTTTAAAGATCTCTTTTTCCTCGCTTGTAACAAAAACATTCATTTCTCTCTCTCTCTCTCTCTCTCTTTCACTCACTAACAGAAACAGTATCGCTATCTCCCTGCCTTTTCCTCCCTTTTTTTTCTTTTCTCTCACGCATTAATTTTAATTTCATCAGTTCATAATCCGTACAATTCGTGGTTTTAAAACTCTATGGATACACAGTGTCTTATTAGGTGAGATTAAAATAACGAAGTCTGACACAACGCCACATAAGAGGAGATTGCAGTAAACAAAATGTATGTGGATATATATTTATATATATATATATATATTTTTTGTGTGTATGTGTGTGATAACGATATATATTTTTATATATCAAGAACAGTATTGGAGAAATTGTATGACAAAGGGAAAAGTTGACTTGTGGCCTGTTTCGTCCTTAAGGACTTCATCGGACGAAAATTGTTATGTTGGTAGGTCTACACATGCGCACACGACAGATCAACATGGGGTTTAAATTTTTTTCTTCTATTTTTTATCTAGCCTAATTCATTTCGAGATTTTTTTTTTTTTTTGTTCCAAGGGCTTTTGCAAGCCTTGGCTTTTACACTGTGATATTAGAAGATCTGTCAGGGATGTCTGAAATTTGCATGATTATTATTCAAATTTCATGCAGATGGGACAGTATTGACCATATAAGTATTCAGAGTTGTTTTTACTCCCTTGGACATCCACAGTAAATTTGCGTCCATGTTTCACCATTTTTGGCAGATCTTATCACAATTCGGGATATTTAATAACAAAGGTGTATTTAACAAAAATGAAAATCTTTTCAAAAAACACAAATTACACACACACACACACACACACACACACACACATGGGCTGATAAAGTTATAAACACACACACACACACAAATATATATATATATATATATATTTTTCGAAATAAAAGTATAAAATTTAATATTACAAGACATATTAATCCCTTCCTTTTCTTCTCTTTTTTCCATTCTTCTCTCTGTCTATTTTCTTTCAGGTTTAAATATTTCTCTTTATTCTTTATCCCTTATTTCTCTGTCTATCTTTCTCCTTATTTCTGTCTCTTTTCTTTCTTTTCTCTCACTTCCCCCTTTCTCTCTTTAAGCATTTTTCTCTTTTCTTTCTATTTCTCTCTTTATTTCTCTCTCATTATCTCTATTTTTCTATATCTCTACTTATTTCTTTCTCTCTATCAGTCTTTTTCTCTCTTTCTTTCTCTTCTCCTTTTCTAGCTCTTTCTTTTTCTTTATCTCTTTCTATCACTTTCTCTAAAAATCATTCTTTTCTCTCTCCTTTTCTCTCTTCTTTTTTTTTTTTCTTTTATCTATTTCTCTTCTTTTTATTTCTCTTTTTTTCTTTATCTCTTTCTTTCTATCTTTCCCTTTATTTCTCTCTCTTTATCTCTTTCTCTCTCTTTATCTCTTCCTCTCCCTTTTCCTTTTATTTCCCTCTCTTTATTCTCTTCCTTTCTCTTTTAAAAATTTTTATCTTTCCCAATTATTTCCTAAATCCTCTCTTTCTCTATTCCTCTCTCTTTTTATATCTATATTATAGATTTTCTCTTTCTTTTTAAACTCTTTCTCTTCTCTTTCTTCTCTAATTTCTCTTCTCTTACATCTTTCTATCTTTCCCTTTAAATCTCTTTTAAAAAATTCCTCTCTCTCTCTTTTTTTTTTTCTTTAAATCTTATGTCTTTATCTCTTCCTCTCTCTCTTTTTCTTTATATGGATATAACTTCTTTCTCTCTTCCTCCCTTAATTTCTTTCTTTTTTTTTTTTCTTTCTCTTTTATTCTTCTCTTTCTCTTTATCTCTTTCTCTCTTTTCTCTTTCCTTTTTTTCTCTCTGTCTAACATTTCTCTGCAACTTTTGTAGAGTTGGGCAATGCAATTCTGTCTTAAATTCAAACATTTTCTTGATTCTTACGTCCGCAACAAGTTGAAACACCGATGTTAAGCAATGTCGGGCCTAAAACTTCCATAGATGGGTGACTATTTATGAATTCCAGGAAGCTAAGTTTGGTGTGAATTCTTAGTGGCTAAAAAATTCTAAATTTTTTTCGAGACGTGTTCAAATTATTATGTTGTTTCGCTGTATTCACTTTCGTTCAAATACCCTTGGAAAAGGCATGAACTCACATCTTCTCCCTTAGCTATGGGTTAATCAGTAAGACTTGTATCACAAAATCATTATTATACCCACCCTACAATTCTTACATTTAAAAATATTTTCTGACCTTAAATAACCTGCAAAAGTTTGATAAGCCGTAGAAAGCGAATCAATCAATCCATGAAATCCTGATTATTTACATAGGCGTGTCTTTTAGATTCATTTACATTCTCTGGAATATAAATGTATAGAAACTAATCTGGCCACAAAGTGAGGGATCAGTTTATATATTGATTGTAACGTAGAATTGATCCCCAACTTTATATCCACATTATAATTTCTTGTTTGATTAGCTGTGGAAAACGAATCAATCAATCAATGAAATACTGATTAGCTACACAGGCATGTCTTTTAGATTTATTTACATTCTCTGGAATAGAAATGTATCGAAAACTACCGTGGCCACAAAGTGAGGGATCAGTTTATATATTGATTGTAACGTAGAATTGATCCCCAACTTTATATCAACATTATAATTTCTTCTTTGTTTATCAAATTCTGATTATGCATGAATTCACCTTTCTCTCATTCCCGCTATGGGTAAAACTTAGTAAAACTTGTATTACTAAACGATTATTATCTCAAAAAATTCTTAAAAATAAAAAAATTTTCTGACCTTAAATAACCTGCAAAGGGTTGATAAGCCGTAAAAAAAACTATTAAGCAATGAATTTGTTTTAACGTTTGCTTTAAACTTTGGCCTAAATTTTAAAATCGGAAATTTAAAAATCTTCAAAATAAAATAAACGCCATTTCCAAATATTTTGTTGATTCTATAAAAAGAAACATATTTATAAATTTCTATGAATATATAAATTTTTCAAAAAATATCTTCGAAAATTTTCTTAAAATATTTTAAAGATATTCAATATTTTTTCATTAAACACTTTTATGAAAATATTTGTAAAAAAGAAAATTACATAAAAATTGCTATATTAATTTTATTTTAGTAAAAACTTCTATCAGGAAACTATGAAAAATATACAAATAATTCCTATAAAATGCTTCTATAATGGTTCAACATCGACCACAGTTGATGAAAACTTATTTATTAAGAGAGAGAAAGAGTTAGAGAAGAAATTGTGAGATGTGGGGAGGGTTATGTTTTTTCCTTGTGTATTTGTGTATGTGTACATAATTGGTTTTATATATGCAGGGGTATTTATGAGAGTCTATATTTTAGATGAGGTATTGTAAATAATTTTTAGTGAATTACTTACATTGTTCGGACTGTTGTCATCTTTGAAAAAAATTTTTTTTTTATTTCATATTCATGACAACGTTTCGGCTGTCCAGTTATACGCTTTTCAAGGCCTTATATATATTGTTATCTTTACGAACTATAATTCTAAGACGTTGCAATTATTTATATTACATTTTCGGACTGTTGTCTTCATCTTTATTGCTATATTAACGACGTTTGAGTTGAAGAGTTTTCATTTCTTCAGATTTGTCTAAATTTCTGAAATGAGGTATTGTAATTATTTACATTTTCGGACTGTTTGTCTTCATCTTTTATTTATATTAACGACGTTTCGGCCGTTGTTGCAGTTTTTCAGTGACACCTTCTTCAGATTTGTCTAAATTTCTGAGATGAGGTATTGTAATTTGGTTACATTTTTCGGACTGTTGTCTTCATCTTTATTGCCATATTCACGACGTTTCGGCATCATTGGTCAACGCTCCACTTCTTCATCATTTGTTGGTAAATTTCTGAGATGAGGTATTGTAATTAAATAATTTTTTCGGGACTGTTGTCTTCATCTTTTATTGCCATATTCATTTTTTTTTTTTTTTTTTTTATCTCCAAAAAAAAAAATCTTTATGTACGCTCCATGCCTTTTTCTCAGATTTGTCTAAATTTCTGAGATGAGGTATTGTAATTATTTACATTTTTCGGACTGTTGTCTTCACCTTTATTGCCATATTTACGACGTTTCGGCTGTTGTACGCTCCAGCCTTCTTCAGATTTGTCTATATTTCTGAGATGAGGTATTTTAATTATTTACATTCTTCGGACTGTTGTTCTCATCATTATTGCTCTATTCACGACGTTTCGGCAAAAAGTTGAGGCATTGTCCGGTGAATATTGTTTGCCGTATACGAATGTCTTGAACCCATGATCTGTTCGAGATATTAATATATCCAGGAATGCCTGTTTGTTTTCGTTTTCTCTCTCCATCATGAAATATATCAATGGTTATATTGAGTTAACATGGTCCAGTAGTAGCTGGACATCTTCCTGATGTGGCCAGAGTATAAAGGTGTCATCTACGTATCTCAGATCGAAATTCCAATCACCTGTAGAAGGCCGGAGCGTACAACGACAGAAATGTCGTGAATATGGAAATAAAGATGATGACAGCAGTCCTAAAAATGTAAATATTTTAAATAATTACAATACCTCATCTGAGAAATATAGACAGATCCTTTCCAAGAAATTGCACATTTCAACGACCGAAATTATTATATTACGTTCTTTTACTTCTTGAAGATGGGGACACTTCCAAATTTTAAATAGTAGAAATTTACAGGGATGTTGAAAAAAAAAACAATTTAAAAAAGAAAAATTGGACATTTGATTAAACTGGGAGAAATGGTTCAGGTCTGAAAAAACCCCAACTTTTTCACCAATAAACCTCAAAATATACGCAGATTCAGCTACTTTTTTTTAAAAAATTTTTGTGTTGCATCATTTTTGTAAGGATTCAAGTTTTTAACTTTAAACTTTGGGATTTTTTTCAAAATTTTTTTTTTTTGCATTTTAGAATTTTTTCTTTCTTTTTTCTTTCTTTTTCTTTCTTTCTTTCTTTCTTTCTTTCTTTCTTTCTTTTTGACTTAATCTTTTCATTGTTTACGAAGCCTTCTCTACTTATTTTTTCTTCAT